TGATCCGTACAAGAGTTACAATATTGATAAATCAGACTGCAAATCAGAAATAACGCCCCAAAATTCTCTTATAACCAGAAGCAGTCAGGAATCCGCGAGTTGTAGTTGCAAATGTAGCTCTAGAAGTTTGAAAAATAGTTACTCAAATTTAAATATTATTGATGTACCCCAATCTGAGGGTCAAAAATCTATTTCAAACAATGCTGATGTGTGCAGTTTGTACTACAATCCATACGAATCATCTGATTCGGACGGCGAATCTAGAAGTATTATTACTGAAAGATCGCAGGTTAAATCAATGTCAACTGCTGTTACATATTGCTCAAAGAGCAAAGAAAAATTATATATGTACCAAAATGAAGTAGAAGAATCTATGCAAAATAAAGCGCCTATCAAAAAGAAGCGAAAACAAGTTTCTAGAGATAGAGATCAAAGCTATAATAGAAATAGAGGACGCTCAACTAATTCTGGTGCAAATCCTCCACAAATAATATCTAGAACCACTGTGAAAAAACAAGTTCAAAACGATAATACTTTCACAGTTACTGAGTCAAAACGTGGGCAGATCTCTTCTTTCGATTCTAATACCAGACACTACCAAACTCGTGAAAACCACGCCGAGAAAGTGCGCGAAAATCAAAAATATTTTGCTCGACGTCCGAATTACAATATTGCTAAACAAAGTATCGACGACTCATACTGTGATATGTCAGATGACGAACATTTAAGTTGTAATTCCACCGAAGAGATAAACCCACGTCATTTTGTACATGAAAGCATTGCTTTATCAAAACACGTTGAAAGGTTCCAAGACTGCATGACCATAGGATCAGGTAACTCTAGAATTGCTCGAAAATCTACCAAACTAGAAGTTCACAGAACAAGATCGGATTTGAATAATAATTTGAGTCAGTTTGAAATGCCGAGATCTTGTATGTCGTCAGCTACTTCCTCAAATATTCCTGTTAAAAAAATTGTACAACACAGACCTAAAGCGCAGCCCAAAAAGAAGAATTTCAAATCACCTCCAGCTTATCAACCTAGAACTACTATTTATCAGAATTATAATCCCAATAACTGCGATAACCAAGATGATGAATACCACCCTGGTTATTCATATTACCAGGAATGAAATAAAATTATATTTTGTTACTATTCGTTTAATTAACGTACTTCAGAATTGATAATAGAATACCAAATTAATTACTGTGAAATAAAATATAATACAATATTTTATGAATTACGACTGAATAAAAATCAAATTATATATTTTTATTTATTCACGAATACATTTTTCAGATCTTACTATTGATAATACTTTGACTTTAAATTTATGTGTTTTGCATGTTCATTACTAGCAAATTTACAACATGAGTTACTCAAATATAGAACGGAACAAATCAGCAAAATTTTGTCTGTGTCTTTCTTGATGCATGCGAATTGCTTCTTCATCAATATTTCCCATTGAATCTTGATAAATCCTGATCTCCGGATAATCCATATCTCGGCTCGTGAATATATTGGTATCTACTAACCCTGAATCATGATCAATATCAGAAGCAGCAATTATCCAATGTCGGTTTGTGTCACGGTCGCGGAATGAATCTACTGGCCATTGGTCTACAGAATCCTTAGGATCAAAGATTTCAACATCGTTTTTGGGGTTAGAATTATATACTTCTGGAGGCATCTCTGCTGGGTAGTGTAGAGTCTGATCACCTGTTACCAAATCTTCGTCTTCGGTGATGAAGTTTGTGTTTCCATCCAATGGTGCTCCTAGTAGTGGGTAACTGTTTGTATCATCATCTGAACTGGCAAAACCTCCAAACTTTATTGTCAACGTGATGTTGGTTACACTACTGTTATCTGGTTTGTCACATCCGCCTGAGCAATCTGATGAAATTATGTCATCGGTAGAGATCTCGTTTTCCTGTACGTTTGCGTGGATGAGTCTGTATTTTTGCATTCTGCTGGATAATAAGTTGACCTTTTCTTGGATTTCATTGAGCATTTCAATGTTTTCATCCATTTCCCGGTTGAAGTCTTTTAAGGTCGTGTCTTCTTTTTCGACAGTAGGATCAGCATACTCTATCGGGATAGCGCCAATTCCACTTAGTGCAACGCATAGTAATAGGATTAGTGAATAAATCATGATCTGAAATAAAAAAAAGATTGAAATTGTATTAGCAATAACAGCACTAAGTATTTTGTCTAAAGTATTAGTTGTTTATTAAAAAAGGCCTCGAATTTTTTCATTTAATGCTTTTGTTCACATTACATAACTGGACTTGCAATTTCACTTTCTTTCTTAGATTAATAGCAATTTTAATGTTTTATAGGAATAAAGTCGTAAGTGCACATTATTTTCATTATATATCCAAAACTTTGAAATAGATAATTCAAATTTTCATTATCAAGATAAATATTGTAAGTCATGTATCATAATATGAATATATTTATATAAATAGAGTTGCAAAAATATGAATGGTTACTGGAGCGAATTAGCTCCAATTCAGACTTAGGGTGCTATGACTTTTTATACAAAAACATAAAAAAAATTATGATTTTTTTTAATTTGTAATAAAATTATTATCGAATTGTTAAATATTGATTTTTAATTAAATATTAATAAAAGCTTTTCAAATCACAATAGTGAAATTAAATGAAGGAGATCTATAGAAAAGCACTTCAGTTAAGGTGAATTATGAAAAAAATATTTATTTTGAGGAATATATAAAACAATTTTTACTGATTTTTTTAATTAGTCGCATATTAAGAATGAACATTAGAGATTTTTTTAATTATTCTTAATTAATTTAGATAATATTCACAATTTATGTGCATCAGAAATGTTTGAAATTTAATTAAAAGATGTTATTTTTTGTGAGAAAAATAATATAAATGCATAAGTACCGGTAAAAAATGAACATATACATGAAATGAATACTATATACATGAGAATAAATGTATGAAATGTCTAAAATTTAACTATTTTCTAGATATTATTTTATGTTAGATAAATAATATGATTGAATAGGAATCACTAAATAATTTAGTGAACATTTTCATTAGTAGATGTTTTTAGATACTATACACAAAAGAATAAATGTATGTTCTGTTTTAAATTCTATTTTTAATTATGTGATTCATATTATTATCTTGAAGATAACATGTCCTAAAATTTAATTTACTAATTAAAATAAAACTTATGTTTATTAATGTTATTCGTGCTTTCAAAAATCGAAACAGATCATTTGAAAACGATATATAATTTTCTTTGAAGAGAAAATCCTTCCTTTAGATAAATTTTAAAATTTAAATCTTTACGTCAAAATAATTTTTTGCAATATCAATGGGAAACAAACTATCCCCAAATATAAACATCCTCTTTTTATCCAAATCCTGGTCTTTTTTCTAATTAAGAGGATTTTTTCTAATAATTCTTAATTACGTAAGTTAGATAATTTTCACAATTTGTGTATTAGAAATGTTTAAAAAATAATTATTTCACGAGAATTTATATAATAATCTATGCATAATAGAGAAAATCGGTTGTGGCCGATTACTTGGCCATTTTTTCTTTAGTCGCCATAATTTTTGTAAATTAATAAAAAGATGAAAATACTCACTTAAAGTTTCCCTGATGTCACTTTTCTGCAAATCAAATTATTATTTGAGCACTTGTATTTTTTTTCATAAACACCGTTAACTAATAAGCAAATTAGTACTACTACTAATGAACTAAAACTTTTTTGATAATCGTTCTTCTGCGATCGTACAATAACTGTAACAAAGCAACGAAAACTGCGCATTGATATCAACGAATAGTTTACAATAAAACCATTGTTGACGCATTCTTGATTTTGTGTGAGTTCAAATCCGATATCTATAAACATAGTCCATTATATACGATAGACGATTATAATCGTTTAATAATTTCACCAGAACAACAATATCTTTAGCAATCGTGGGTAATAATATTTTTAAATATTTTTAAATATTTTATTCAATATTATTGATTAGAAATTTGTTCTCACGCTTTTATTAGACCAGTTTGTTTTGTGTGATATTGTTTTTAAATTCAAGACAATCATTGTAGAGGTATTCAAAACCTACATTCATAAAGAATACCTAAATGAGTTGATACTAGTAGTGTATGGCATCGTGCCTTAAGGCAAATTGCTGAAACTTCCTTTACCAAAATTTAAATTTTAAAAAAGATTTAATTTTCTTTTAGAATTCTGAAAAAATCGATTTTTGAAATGTTTAAAAAATTTTTAATTGACCTTTTAGAAAAATCTGATTTTTTTCTATACTTTGCAATCTTTTGGAAAGTTCGAACTTTTTTACAAAGCAATCGCGATGCGTTAGCTGCGTAGAAACAAAATAAAGAAGCGCGTGGGCGCCGCGTTGCGGTATTATAGATAAATATGGGTACGGAACCATAGAAAAGTAAACAAAATTTTTTCTTATTATTAAAATATCTATTGATCATTTTTCTCCGAAATATGGCATTTTTTTCACTTTTTTATTGGATCTCCGAAACCGCTACACATGCCTTTCTCAAAATTTCAACATTTCTTCATTTTGTTAGTACAAATAAAATGTTTTTCGAATAATACAAATAGGACGCTTCGTTCTCTCAAAAAATCATTTACCATTTTTGCCACTTTTTGCCACGTATAATAAAGATAAAAAAATACAAGTACTAATGTATATTGTTAAATTGTATTAACATTTACCTGAGAACGAGAATAAGATATTTTATATATATATTATTAAAAATATTTATTAATTTAAAAAAATACAAAAGTATAATTCTAAATAATAAAATATTATTACAACATTAACTTAGGTCTTACTAAAAATATATTATAACTTTGTTTCGACATCATTAAATGAATTATATACTAATAATGACCATCAATCCAATAAAATCAGTCTTTGGATGGATTCATATTCTTACAAAATACACCTATATCTAATACATGATAATTTTTTTCAATGTCTTTCCTTATTTTCTAAATATCACATTAAAATCTAAGATTTTTTGAAGTAACTCGTTACTTTATTTCCTATTCGTCTCCACCATGCAGGTTTTGCAGTAGTTGTTGTAATTACCTATAAGTAAATCAAAAAGTTTAGTAATATTTTCAATCAAAGTCGATTGTATAAATTATTTTATCAAGAATTTACCTCTTCTACATAAACAGGCTCATAAGGATCTGCTCTGACTTGGGCAGGAACATTGTCCTCGTGAACAGTCGCATGATGATTCGTAACTTGTATGTCGTGTCGAACAGATTCTACCCTCTGTGTATCTTCATTCACTCGAGTATTATGAATACTGGTTTGTGCAAAAACTGGTTCAACAACTTGCTGTTGCCCCAAATCTTCAAGATTTTCAGTTTGGAATTGCTCTATTTGTTGACTTCCATGCATAACATTTGAATTTGATGTTCTACTTCCATATGAGTTTGATGTGTAAATTTGTTCTCTGTTTACGCTAGATTGCTGTTGTGTTCGTCCTACATCAAAATTAGAATCGACTAGCTGTTGAGTAACTTGGCCTTGATCGTCCTCATTATCATTTCTTCCGCCTGATTGAGTATTATGAATACTGCTTTGCGCGAAAACTTGTTGTTGCCCCAAGTCCTCAAGATTTTCTGTTTGGAATTGCTGTATTTGTCGACTGCCATGCATAACATCTAAATTTGATGTTCTACTTCCATATGAGTTTGATGCGTAAATTTGTTCTCTGTTTGCGCTAGATTGCTGTTGTGTTTGTCCTACATCAAAATTAGGATCGACTAGCTGTTGAGTAACTTGGCCTTGATCGTCCTTATCATCATCTCTAACCGGCTGATCACCTCTTCTATATGCACCATTATCAGTATAACTGCTTCTTAATCTTTCTTGAGATGATGTATGGTGTGTTGTTGAAGAATTTGAAGCAATCATTCTCTCATTGCTATACTCTCTCGAGTTTTGTTGCGATGAGGCTGCTGTATACGCTGCATTGGACGACTCACTTCTTCGTTCTGTATGTTGTGAATTGAAACTCCTGGACTCTTGTACCGTTGTTGAAGTTGTTCTGGTTTCATTGCGTTTTCTATTGATAAATTCTATGAGCTGATCATTACGAGAATCAATTACTCCATCTGTTATTTGTTGCTGTTGTTGTTGATTTTTGTTGAGTCTTTCGCTTGTTGTTTCCAGAACATGTCCTAGTGTTTCTAATTTTGTGTAGTCTGGTAGTTCTGTTGTGGTTTCTACATCAACATCATATATTGTACTTTCTTCATTTTCTGCATAATCATCTTCATTCAGTTTATGTTTCTCATCTTCACTATGGTTGCACTCAGTACCATCTGCATGAACATTTGTGCCAGGTTTTACATGATAATTTGTTTCTTCATATTGTCGATCTTCAGTATCATCATATTTTGTACCTTCTTCGTGATTGCATTCTGTACCATCTTCATGTAAATTTGTTCCTGGCTTCAAATGATGTTGGTACTCGTACTGGTTTGTTCCTGAACTTGTAACGGTATGAGATCCGTGTTGTACATTGTGAGTGTGCTTATGATGTTCATCGTGTGTGCATTCAGATCCATCCTCATGACGATTTGTTCCTGGTACTATGTAATGATGATATATTTTTGTAATATGTGTCGTGCGTCCGCGATTTGGATAGCGGCCACCGCGCCTGCGATAATCTCTACCACGATAATAGGGTCTCGAATGATATTCTCTAGTATGGTGCATTTGATCCGTACGATGCCGATCTCTTCCATCGTACGATGATCCCATATGATATTCACGAGTATGTTGGGGTCGCATGTGATATTCTCGAGTATGCTGAGGTCCCATATGATATTCCCGTGTATGATGGGTCGGTCCCATGTGATATTCGCGTGTGTGATGCATTTGGCCAGTATGATAATTAGTTGTTTGCGGATTTTGTCTCATGTGGTACTCTCTTGTATGCTGCATGGGTACAGTACCGGGGTTAACTTGATCATAATTAGAAGTAGCATGTTGACTTATGGGATATCCTGTTTGTTGATTACTATAACCTGTAGTTTGAGTTGTTCCATGACTAGAGCTGGTATGGTATGTAGCCGAACCTGAATTTATACCAGATACTTGGTGATAATTAGGTTGACCTGCATTGGGATATACGTTGTGATATCCGCCGTATTGATGACCTGTGGAACTTGTACTATGCATAGTATTTCCAGTAGTGATACCTGGATATTGAGGAATAGTAGGAGTTCCTCCAATAGGCTGGGTGGTAGTTGTTGGTAGTTGATTATTATTAACTTGTTGGTGATTATAGATTTGTTGATAATTGTAACCTGTATTAGCAGCGCTAGAGCTTGCGCCGTGCATAGCATTTCCAGTAGTAATACCTGAATGTTGATGATTTGTAGGAGTTCCACCAACAACAGTCTGCGCTGGTTGTTGATTGTGAACCTGCTGATGATCATAAACTTGATGTTGATAATTGTAACCTGTATTAGCAGCGTTGGAACTTGTGCCGTGCATAGTATTTCCAGTAGTGATACCTGAGTGTTGAGGATTTGTAGGTGTTCCACCAACAACAGTCTGTGCTGGTTGTTGATGGTTGTGTACCTGTTGATGATTGTAAACTTGATGTTGATAATTGTAACCTTGATGTTGATAATTGTAACCTGTTGTACCAGCGTTAGAGTTTAAGCTATGCATAGTATTTCCAGTAGTAATTCCTGGATATTGAGGACTCGTAGGAATGTCTCCAACAGTCTGTGCTGGATGTTGATTATTGTAATTAACTTGTTGCTGATTATTGTGACCTGTGTTAGCAGACACTATATTGGTGTCGGGCCTGTTGTAAGTTTGTGAATGGATAGGATATCTATGCTGGTTATTATCATACACATATGTACCAGAACTTGCATCATATGTAGTACTACCGGTATTAATATTTGAACCATGTTCTACAGTAGCATACGTGGTTTCAGACGGATGCAATGGTCGTTGGTTTACGTCTTGATTTATGTCATGTACATTAGTAGAATTTATACTAGTTTCGTACACGGTAGAAGAACTAGAAATAACGTGCTCTTTGTTGTCGATATTCATGTGTGATCCAGCATGAGGATCAAGAGGATTTGGATGCTGATAATTAATATTTTCATGCCGGTTATTGCCGGTTACTAAAGTCGAACTTGATGCAGTATTGTGAATATTAATTTCATGCCCTGACTGACCATGATTTTCATTCTCAATATTTCTATCGATAGACTGATCTACTAATATATGCTGATTATCTGTTTCGAAATCATCATCAGTATTAGCAAAAGAGTTTGAATTTATATGGTGCTCCTTATACTCTGCACTATGTGAACTGCTTTCTTGTCCTTCTTCAAACTTTGTAAAGGTTTGATGCACAGAATTTGATCCATAAATTGTATTATGCACTTGACCGACTGTATTCACATTTGGGTTTTCAGAAGTGGTTTTCAAATTGGCTGAACTATGTGATGGTTGCTGGTAGTGACTTCCTGATGAACTGCCATCATACTGATTATTACCGGAACTTACAGATGAACTAAAATGATGCGTTGTAACAAATGTTGACGTGGTACCTTTAGTATTGGAACCGGATATAGTGCTGTAATGCCTTTGATCGTCTGTATTTGTATTTGGATTTTCAGAAGAAGTTTGCAAGTTTTCCGAAATATGTGCTGGTTGCAGATACTGTTTTCCAGAGGAGCTGCTATCATATTGATTATTTCCGGAATCTACAGAAGAACTGGAATGATGCGTTGTAACAAATGTTGATGTAGTACCTTTAGTACTAGAACTGGATATTGTGCTCTGTCCTTGATTGACTGCATTCGTGTTTGGACTTTCAGAAGTGGTTTGCAAGTTCTCTGAAATATGTGCTGATTCTTGATACTCATTTTCGGAGGAGCTTACAACAAATTTATTATTGCTAGAATCAACAGATGAACCTGAGTGGTGCGTTGTAACAAAAGTAGATATGGTACCTTGATTGCTACTTCCAGTAACCGTTCGATCATTGTTTTTCTTTGAAATATTATCATTGTAGTTTTCCTGCACGTGTTGGTTATTTGTCTGGAATTTATTGTCGGAATGAATATTATGGAAATTAGAGCTTGTTTGATGTACTGTATGTTCAACGCTGCTTGAACTGCTTTCTTGTACTTGACTATAATTTGTACTGAATTGTCGCACAATATTAGAATTATGCGTTGTGCCATGGGTATTTCCGACAGTATTATCGCCATGCTGGTTATCGTCAATATTTATTGTTGAACTAGAATGATGCATACTTCCAGATGCAAAATTTTGACTATTGCTGTGATACTTGTTATTAGCACTATTGTCACTTGTATTATGCTGATTTTCTATAAATTGTTTGTCAATATTTGTATTAGAGCCAGAATATGTATTTGAACCAGTTGTTATTGTACTATCCACAGAATGTGCTGATGTTTCAACTGCTCCACTTATTAATTGATTTTCTCTAGACTTGTTGGAATGTAAATTATTTACATCATGTAAGTCATTGGTAGAATCAATATTAATATTATGAGAATTAGAAACAGAATAAGTAGAATGTGTTTCGACTATTTGATGACCTATGTTTGAATTATTATTATTTACAACATGTGACTCTGTTTCATGCTTATCTGTAATTTTATCTTGATTCAAAATATCAAATTCATTTACAATGTGTTGTTGTTCATCATCGTCCTCGCTATGCGATACTGTTTTGTCTGTTGTAATATTTTGTTTCAAACTATCAAAACTATTTTCAATGTGTTGTTGCTGATCTTCTTTTTCCTTACTAATATATTCTAAATCATCTGTATTTACTTCAACAATATCAGGTATATGATCTGCAATATCTTCTGTTATATATTGTTGGTTATGTTGATTGTTGACCAAAGTATTTGCACCAGTTTCCTTGTGATATGCATTTTGAGAATCAAAATCTACATTTTGAACAACTTGCTGCACATTTTCTTCACTGGTGCTGAAGTCTGAAGTTTGTGGAGTTTTGGGTGTAGTGAATGGTTTTAATTGATATTGATATTGTTCATTTGAATTCTCATTGGAATTGTGAATATATTGGTGTTGGATATTTTCAGACGATTGTTGATTTGTTTGATGTACCAAATTCTCATTTGTACTGTGATGATTGATTACATTGACTTGCGCAGTTTGTTTTTCTGAACTTTCGGACACCTGCATTTGTTGGTTGTGATCATCCGTTGAGAAAGTTTCTAAAGTAGTTGGTCGGTTTTGATAGTGAACTGGTTTAGGTCTTATATCTTTTTGAGTAGATGTATAGGAATTTTGTGTAGAATGATGATATCCACCTTGAACATGTTTTTGACGTTCTTCACTTGAGCTTTGTGATACGAATTCAGAAGATACAAATTTATGTCTCGTTTCTTCTTTGCTGCTACTAATGTAATTCACAGAACTTGCACTACTAGTTCGATTAATTCCTTGAGAATATGCAATATTTGAATTAGCATCTATAATATCATTTGCATTTTGATTTATTAAAATAGAAGATTGTCCAGTACTACTTGTTTGTGTAGAAGTTTTTGTTTCGTCCAAACTATTAATGTATGTATGATCAGTTGTAGATTTAATTTCATTATTTACATAATTTGCCAAATCATCAAAATCTATGTATTGAATTTGTTGTTGATTGTCATCTTCCGAAGACTGAGTGTGTTGATTCAAGATATCTATATTCTCGTTTGTATTTTGGTTTATTAGAATTGAAGAATATTGACCAGTACTACTTGTAGACGTTTGACCAGATTCAAATTCATTTACAATATTATTTTGTGCAGCAGTTTTAGTAGTTTCTTCATGTCTGTGCACGTTTGTACGGTCAGTTGTTGATGTAATTTTATTATTTACATTATTTGCTAATTGATCAAAATCTACGTACTGTACTTGTTGTTGAGTATTTTCTTCTGAAGATTCATCTTCTTCAGAATCATGTTTTGTTGTTTGTTCAGTATAATCAGAATTGTGACTTGTATGATTTTTAAGTTGAATATGTTCTTTTTGTTTTTGCTGATAAATTGTTTCTGATCCTGATGAATGTTGATTTGTATTTTGGTTATTTACCTCGACAAAATATGATCCAGATTGATCTTCAGTAGTTTTTATTTGTGAATCACTTTCAAATACACTTTCTGGCATTTGTACTTGTTGGTCGTCTTTTTCAGAAGAGTCACCTTCCAATGTCTGAGGCTGTTGCTTGTAACGAATTGGCTTAGGTTTGGAATTAGGATGAGTCATATGCTGAATTGTAGTTTGCTGTTGAGATCCAGTATCTCTGTTGTTATCAGAATTAACGTTCGAATTATAAATTGTTGATCCTGATTGAGACTCGTATCTTTTTCTTTCTTCACTACTACTGAACGTATGCGTAGTATAGCCAGTAGTAACTGTTTTATTAGTTGCTTGACTGTGATTAAAAATAGTATTATGAACGTTTCCGATTTGGTTCACTTTATTTGAATCCTTAGATGTAACTTTAGTTGAGTGATGTTTATGTGATTGATTTGATATGCCTTCAGTGCTGCTACCTTGGTTATAAATCTCTTCGTGGTTTATGTTAGTTTCTGTGCTGGATCCAGATATTTGTTGATTTGCGTTTTGATTATTAGTTTTGTCGTATGTTGCTCCTGAAATATGTTCATTTTCTACACTATGGGATGATCCGGTATTATTTACAATAGTAGTTATAATTTGTGACCCGCTTTCGAAAACACTTTCTGGCATTTGTACTTGTTGGTCGTCATCTTCAGAAGAGTCACCTTCGAAAGTTTGAGGTTGTTGCTGGTAACGAATTGGCTTAGGTTTGGTATTAGGATAAGTCATATGCTGAATTGTAGTTTGCTGTTGAGATTCAGTATTTCTGTTATTGTCAGAATTAACGTTCGAATTATGAATTGTTGATCCTGATTGAGACTCGTATTTTCTTCTTTCCTCACTACTACTGAATGTATGTGTAGTATAGCCAGTACTAACTGTTTTATTAGTTGTTTGGCTGTGATTAAAAGTAGTATTATGAACGTTACCGACTTGGTATACTTTATTTGAATCCTTTGATGTAATTGTAGTTGAGTGATGTTTATGTGATTGATTTGATATGCCTTCAGTGCTGCTACCTTGGTTATGAATCTCTTCGTAGTTTATGTTTGCTTCTGTGCTGGATCCAGATATTTGTTGATTTGCGTTTTGATTATTGGTTTTGTCATAGGTTTCTCTTGAATTATGTTTATTTTCTTCACTATGGGATGATTCGGTATTATTTACAACAGTAGTTTTTATTTGTGACCCACTTTCAAAAACACTTTCTGGCATTTGTACTTGTTGATCGTCTTCTTCAGAAGAGTCACCTTCCAAAGTCTGAGGCTGTTGCTGGTAACGAATTGGCTTAGGTTTGGTATAAGGATCATTTATATGCTGAATTGTAGTTTGCTGTTGGGATTCAGTATTTTTGTTATTGTCAGAATTAACGTTCGAATTATAAATTGTTGATCCTGATTGAGACTCGTATCTTTTTCTTTCTTCACTACTACTAAATGTATGTGTAGTATAGCCAATAGTAACTGTTTTATTAGTTACTTGACTGTGATTTAGATTAGTATTATGAACATTGTCAATTTGGTTTTCTTTAGTAACTAAAGTTGAGTGATTTTTATTTGATTTATTTAATCTGCCTTCAGTGCTGCTACCTTGGTTATAAATTTCTTCATAGTTTATGTTAGCTTTTGAGCTGGATCCAAATATTTGTTGATTTACGTTTTGATTACTAGTTTTGTCATATGTTGCTCCTGAAATATGTTTATTTTCTTCACTGTGGGATGATCCGGTATTATTTACAATAGTAGTTTTAATTTGTGATCCACTTTCGAAAACACTTTCTGGCATTTGTACTTGTTGGTCGTCATCTTCAGAGGAGTCACCTTCCAAACTTTCAGGCTGTTGCTGGTAACGAATTGGCTTAGGTTTGGAATTAGGATAGTTTATATAATGAGTTGTAGTTTGATGTTGAGATCCAGTATTTCTGTTATTGCCAGAATTAACGTTCGAATTATAAATTGTTGATCCAGATTGAGACTCGTATCTTTTTCTTTCTTCACTACTACTGAATGTATGTGTAGTATAGCCAGTAGTAACTGTTTTATTAGTTGCTTGGCTGTGATTAAAAACAGTATTATGAACGTTTCCAATTTGGTTTACTTTATTTGAATCCTGATTATTGGTTTTGTCATATGTTGCTCCTGAAATATGTTTATTTTCTTCACTTTCTAAAACACTTTCTGGCATTTGTACTAGTTGGTCGTCTTCTTCAGAAGAGTCACCTTCCAAAGTCTGAGGCTGTTGCTGGTAACGAATTGGTTTAGGGTTGGTATAAGGATCATTTATATGCTGAATTGTAGTTTGCTGTTGAGATCCAGTATTTCTGTTATTATCAGAATTAACGTTCGAATTATATATTGTTGATCCAGATTGAGACTCGTATTGTTTTCTTTTCTCACTACTACTGAATGTATGTGTAGTGTAGCTTGTTGTAACTGTTTTATTAGTTGCTTGACTGTGATTAAAAGTAATATTATGAACGTTTTTGACTTGGTTTACTTCATTTAAATCATTCGAAGCATCTATAATTGAGTGATTTTCATCGGAATCGTGTATTACATTAGCATTTGTGCCATGAGAATTTGTTGTATGATCCGCAATCTTTAAGTTTTCCTTAGTTTGATATTGAGAATTTGTTGAAATTGTTTGTCCTTGTAAGTGCTTTTGCTCATCTTCAGTAGAATGATTTTCTGAACTCACTGATTGTTGTTGATATCTCATTGGTTTAGGTGTAGTGCTTCCTTGATTTGTAGTGCCAGAATATGAATGATGTGTTTGTTTATCATAATTGTTAGATGCATGTCCATAATGCTGGTATTTTGGTGTAGTAGAATAATAATGTTTGATATCGTTGTCTTCAAAGAAATAAATTTTAGATGATTCCAAATCATGCTTTCTTCTTTCTTCATCACTACTAATTACATACGTAGTAAATGTTGTAGTAACTGTTTTGTTTGCACTTTGACTTTCATTAAATTTATTGGCATTCGTGTTTACAACGTGGGACATTTGATTTGCCTTTTTTACTTCATCAACTGCATTGGAATTAATTGAATGCTCTTCACTACTTTGTGTGTAACTCCTGGATGAATTTGTAGATTTGTGCAAAGTATTTACTGTTTGATTTTGGTGCATTGTATTATAATTTTCTCTATTGATATTTGTGCCGTTGAACGACTGATAGGTTAATGAAAACGCACCATTACTTTTTTGATGTGATGTTGCGGAGCTACCTTGTGATACACCTTGATCATTATCAAATGGATGACTCGTCGTAGATGAAATTGATATAGAATTTTTATACGTTGACTGACCATATAATTCATCTGTATCGACTTGTGAAACAGAATCCTCATAACTTCCAGATTCAACCCTGTGCTCGTTCACTAAAGAACTTGGTTTTGCAAATGGGTCAGAAGTTTCTAAAGTTGTAGGAGTCGTTGTTTTGAAATAAATATTTTGTTCCAAATCTTTAGTCTCAGTATTTTGTTGCTCGCGATTATATTGATATTCTGATGTGTGTTGTCTTATATTTTGTTCACTAGAACTAACGGATAAACTAGAATGAGTCCTTTGAGAATCTCTTGTATGAGATTTATCTTCAAATATATACCCCGACATCTGTTTTTGCAGATCATCATCTTCGTTTGAGTAGCTTTCAGTAGTAGAAGTTTGATACTGATAGCGCATTGGAATTGGTTTAGGAGTTATTATAACACCAGGTGAAGTTTGTGTAAAATACTGATTTCCGTTAGTATCATAATTATTTCTTTCATTACTAGTATGCGATAATTCAGATGAAACTGATTGTGATGCAGTTGTTTTGCTTTCTTCGCTGCTACTAAAAGTGTAGCTCGTGGAACCAGAAGTAACGGTTTTGTTCATTGTGATATTTTGATTGGTTCCATTTCTCAAAATATTTTGATGTGTATTTTCTTGATTTGATATGTATTGGTTATTACTTGAACTATTATCATGAGAGTAGAATTGATTTATAACTTTTTGTTGAGTATCCGCTTCGGTTGACTCAGAATTCAAAGCCATATTACTAGAAGATGAATAATTTTTTCCAGAATTCATATTTATTACATGATATTGACCACTTACATTTTGAGATGAATAACTTATAGAAGATGTCGATCGCATATCACTCGAGTTACGTTCATGGCTACCATATTGTTGCTGATAATTTCTATCTATAGATGCATTATTTATTTCAGAATTTGATTTGTGTTTTTCATTTTCGAGGAAATCATGGCTTGAAAGAGCATCACCTTTGAAGTTAGTAGGTCGATACTGGTAACGAACTGGTTCAGATGTGACATAACGATTAGGGCCTGAATTTATATTAGTTGTAAAATCTGTTTGTTGATCTGGATTTTGAGAAGAACCAACTAAAGAATCCAAAACTTGTTGCGAAATTTGTAATGAGCCTGATTGTAATTGTTCATTCATTTCTTCACTACTACTAAAATTATATTTGGTGAAAGTTGTACTTTCGATCAAGTTTGTTGCACTTTTATTAATATTAATATTTTCTTTGTTTTGTTGCAAATTGAACTGCTGATTGTTTGCAGATGCATAATTATCAGACTTATGTTCGGCAGATTTATTTGTAAAATGACTTATGACGAATTGCTTACTTTCCTCTGATGATGTACTATTTATTGAGGAAATATGAGCGCTCTCACTTGTATTTTTAAATTTATGCAAGTCGTCATTATTATATTGATTGATGATTTGTTGATTATAATTAGTAATATAATGCAAATCATTACCGTTGGTTTTGTCGACGACATTTTTTTGTTGTTGTGAATGTTCGCTTGACTCTTCTACGATTTTTGATGTAGATGCATAATTATTTGAAACTATGTTTTGATTTTCAAAAAATGTATCGCCACTATTATTTGTTGCTTCGTACTTTTCTGTGCGTTGGTCAAGTATTTCATAACTATCTTCGTCTGATGATGAAGCTGTTTTTACTTTGTGTTTTGCACTATTACTTTCATGACTGCTCTGTGAATACTGGCTTACAATTGTATACGACGAATTGGTTGTTTTTGACCCACTGTGCAAAGAAACATTTGAACGATGTTTGTTCTCCTCACTATTCGTACCTGCAGAAATGTGTTCAGTATTTGCTTTTTGTATATTTTGGTTTTGAGTTTCTTGAGAGAACACTGAACCATTATCACTAGCAATATTCGTATTGATCATTTGGGTAGTACTTGTAGATCCTGAATGCGTAGATACAAAGGTACTTCTATTTGAACTGTGTCTAGAATCAGAATCAATTGCACTAGTTCCAGTATTAGTGTCAAAACTACCGTGTTCATACCCTGTACCATCAACTTCTTGTGCAAATTGTGTGTCTTCGTCTTCATAATCATTCTGTGAAGCGTCAGTTGCCGTTGTACTAGAGTTTCTGTTACTGGTACTATACCTTACTCCACCGGAGGAGTACGTGTAAGTAGTTCTACCGCCATCATTGTATCCTGATCCAGACGTGGAATAACGTGATGGCACGTAGCCTGTAGATCCTGAATGTGTAGATACATTATTATTGCTATGAGAGTTTTGCTGTGTGTATTCAAAGGTACTTCTATTTGAACTGTGTCTAGAATCAGAATCAATTACACTGGTTCCAGTATTAGTGTCATAACTACCGTGTTCAAACCCTGTACCATCAACTTCTCGTGCAAATTGTGTGTCTTTGTCTTCATAAACATTCTGTGAAGCGTCAGTTGCCGTTGTACTTGAATTTCTATTACTAGTACTATACCTTACTCCACCTGAGGAGTAGGTGTACGTGGTTCTACCGCCATCATTGTATCTTGATCCAGATGTGGAATAACGTGATGGTACGTAGCCTGGACGACTTGATGAATACGTTGTTGTTGTAACATTATATCGATTTGGCCCACGGTGTTCACCATAATTGGAATTATATCTAGAATAAGATGTAGTTTGGCCTCTATTTCTATGCCCGTAAGCATGGCCGCGAGGATGCGGTTTATTACGATGTCCTGGTGGAATAAAATCTTTCTCCCAATAATATTTTTTCCAGCCCTTACCACCAGGCTTATTTCTTTTATCATTACTATTACCGGCACTGTCATATTCGTCTTCTTCGCTAGAATTCTCATCACTTCCTTCTTCTTTATTGATATTTTTCTCAGTTGTATTTCGTGCATAATTACTTGCGGTCCTATGTTCTGAACTAGTATGACTTGAAGTGTATCTTGTTAAACCGGTGTGAGAATGCCCTGTTGATATTGATTGTTGTCCAATGTCCTGCTCTTGATGATTTTCATAATCTTCATTGTTGCCATGTTCACAATTTTCGTCATGTATATGATCAGTAGTATCTTGATTATTTTCAGTGATTTGTGTACTTGGTTTTGCATAAGAGCTAGTGGAGTGATAACTTGTTATTGTGTAACCCGGTCTATTTTGGTTTGAAGTATAGCGTGATGAAGTAGAATGAGATTGACTTGTTGTTCCATAATTGCCTCTAGTATGTGAATTTTGTTGTAAATTTTCAGTTGTCTGTTCTACAGTATTCTTACCATGTTCAAAACTGCCACCATGTACACTATTGTTTTGCTGACTGTTATTGGTATCTATTGAACTAGTACTTTCTGAATATCCTAGTTCGGATTGACTTGAATTTCGAATAAAAGATCCAGCACGATAATAGCTTATTGTTTGAGCATGCCCTGCTGATTGTGAATGCTGTCCTGCGTTTTGTGTATGCTGTTTATTACCTTCATCACTATCTTCATTGCTCTGATTATTGTTTGTAATCGTATATGGTTGTCCATGCGTCATTGAATTATAAGTTGTTTCAGCATACCCTTGGCGATTTTGGCTCGAGTTAAAACCAGTTGTCCTAGAATTCGAACTGACCGTATGAGAGTAACTCGTAATTCTATGCCTTCCAACATTTTGCGCATGATTCTCACTTCCATTTAAATCACTACTGTTTTCCTTGTCATGTTCACAGTTTTCACTATGAACATGAAGTTTACCTGCATTATCTTGGCCATCGCCATTATTGGAATTCTGCGTTCCATATGAACTAGACGAATGATAAGTGGTTCTTGTATATCCGGGTCTATAATGAGTTGAACCAGTGCTTGATAAGTCAGAATCAGAGTAACTTGTTGTACGAGTGAAACCTGAAGTCTGCGTACGTTGCCCTTTGTCTACAATGCTTTGCTCGTCATCATCAACACTGTTTTTTTCTATATCATGTTCACATTTATCGCTATGAATATGATCAGCGCTATTATTTTCTTGTTTATTTAAAGCACTACCCACATCGGAATAGGAACTTGTGCTTGAATCAGTTACAGAGTTGTATCTTGTCCCAGAATATTGTTCTATGTTACGGTTTGTATTGTGGCTGGCTGAACTAGAACCAGAATAACTCACTGTGCGACTATAACCAGATGTTCCTTGTTGGTTCGCGTTTTGAGAATTTGGATTATTATTAGTATCATCATTATTTTTTTCTATGTCATGTTCACAGTTTTCACTATGAATGTGAAGATTACCATCATTGTCTTTATTGCCACTTTTATTTATAACACTTGAGTGCGGTGTTCCATATGAGCTAGTAGAGTGATAAGTTGTTCTTGTATATCCTGGTCTACTGTGCGTTGAACTAAAACCTGATGAACTAGAACTAGAATGGCTTACTGTTTGTGAGGACTTGGCAGTTTTTGAATATTGTCCTGCATTCACAACACGTTGTGCATCATCATCTTCATCATTGTTATCTTCAAGGCGATGTTCATGATTTTCATTGTTTTCCTGATTTTCAGTAAGGCTTACTTGTGAATCGCGATTTGAATTTAAATTCGATGTAGAATGATAACTTGTTACTGTATATTGTGGTCTATTTCTGCTTGAATTATAGCTTGTTGAACTAGAACTAGAATGGCTTACTGTTTGCGAGGAATTGGCAGTTTTTGAATATTGTCCTGCATTCACAATACGTTGTGCATCATCATCTTCATCATTGTTATCTTCAAGGCGATCCTCATGATTTTCATTGTTTTCCTGATTTTCAGTAAGGCCTACTTGTGAATCGCGATTTGAATTTAAATTTGATGTAGAATAATAACTTGTTACTGTATATTGTGGTCTATTCCTGCTTGAATTATAGTTTGTTGAACTAGAACTAGAATGGCTTACTGTTCTCGAGGAATTGGTAGTTTTTGAATATTGTCCTGCATTTACAATACGTTGTCCATCATCATCTTCATCACTGTTATCTTCAAGGCGATGCTCATGATTTTCATTGTTTTCCTGATTTTCAGTAACGCCTACTTGTGAATCGCGATTTGAATTTAAATTCGATGTAGAATGATAACTTGTTACTGTATATTGTGGTCTATTTCTGCTTGAATTATAGCTTGTTGAACTAGAACTAGAATAGGTTGTGCGACGATATCCTGATGTTCCATGTTGGTTTAAGTTGTCGGTGTCCTGCGCATTATTTTCTTGTTCTACATCATGTTCACATTTGTCATCATGCACATGAGGAGTGCTCTCAGTCCTTTTATTTTCGCTATTGATAAATTGTGAATTAGGTTCTCCAAAAGAACTAGATGAAGTGTAAGTTCTCCTTACGTATCCTGGTCTGTTTTGACTTGAACTATGGCTTGAAGATCCAGTACGAGAAAAACTTGTTGTCCGAGAATACCCACCTGGTACTAAACGTTGTTCGTCGCTATTTTTATCTTGCTCTCTATCGTGTTCCAAATTGTGGGTATTAACTTGATGATCAGTCCCAGTAACATATGTTTGTGGTTTGACGTATGAATACGTCGTCCTTGTATAACCTGGGCTACTTTGGCTTGTAGTATATCTAGATGAACTAGTAGCGGTATTACCCTGTGACTCTAACTTTTGTCTTAAACTAGCCATCAATTGATCATTATAATTGTTTACACTATCTGTATTTGTATTACTGCTGCTTTCTTCGTGAGAACTTGAGGAATAAGTGCGGCTATAACTAGTTCTATAACCGCTCTGCTGCGCTAAAGACTTCTTTATTGCTTCTTGCACTTGAGGATCCATATTTATGTACTCTGTTGGAACATCTGGAGTAGATGAGGAATAGCTACTCTGTGACTCTACCTTTTGTCTTAAACTCGCCATCAATTGATCATTATAATTGGTTGTACTATCTGTATTTGTATTACTGCTGCTTCCTTCATGAGAACTTGAGTAATAAGTGCGACAACTAGTTCGAGAACCACACTGCTGGGCTAAAGATTTCTTTAACGCTCCTTGCATTTGAGAAACCATAGTTTTGTACTTTGGTGGACCATTTGAAGTAGATGAAGTATATGATCTTTGGTAACTACGCAGATATTCCGGAGCCGGTGTAACCAACACAGCCCAGCTGCAAATCAACAGGCTCGCTAAGAACCTCATTGCTGAAAATATATAAGTAAATATTGAATAATGTTTGAAGAAAACACTTAAAATCATGTTATAATTTCAGGACATACAAGCACGCGCGTGTGCAATATAAATAATATAATTACAGATATTATAAATATGTTTGAAAGATATCAATTGAGAACCGCAATTGAAAGCAAAAACTTGATTTTTGAAATTGACAATTGAAAATTTATTTATCTTATCTAAATACCAATTTCGATTGATTAAGACAATTATTACACCTATCAGGAATTTTTTGCAACTTGCCTTAAAGCAAAATGCCACTTTCAACTACTTAACTTCCCGTAGGGTAAGTTATAGTAATCGCAAAAAATTTTTTTTTTTAATATCTTTACGTTTCAAAAGTTTTTGAACATATTGGCATACCTTAAAAAATAGAATTAAGTGTGTTTGTGTGTGTGTGTGTTTGAATACAATTTTTGTCTACGATTTGAATTGATGAAATTTTTTGGAAGGATGGTCTAGCGGTTTCGGAGATACGGGGGAAAATGTAAAAAACAGATATTTGGCGATCTAAAATAATCATTAGACATATCAAATTATCAGATATTTTATAGATTTCAGACATGAGTACTAATTTTTGTTCCGATTTTCTAGGGTTCGTACCAAGAAACTTGGTTTTCGAAGTTTACTTATACGGTTCAAACCAATTTCAAAATTTTCAGAAAAATCTTTTTTCAAAATTTATAAAAATAATCAGAATTTTTAAACTTCAAATATAAATTTTAAATTTTCAATTTGGCTTACAAATGTATATATTTTATATGCGTTTTTATTCTACTCGTAAGAAATATATCCTCAGATGGATTCATTCGGCGTCACTTCTTAATGTAAACATTTTTAAGAGTTTTGAGCAATGAGATCGTCACTAGATATTATCTGACCGATAAAATATATAGTAAATATAATTATCTCTTTAAAAATATTCAAAATAATTATTATTAATCATTGATCAATATTTATTGATTATTAACTTCCCGTAGGGCAAGTTATAGTAATCGCAAAAAAATCGAAAATGAAAATTTTTATAGATCTTTACGTTTGAAAACCTTCTGAACATTTTGGCATATCTTAGAAAAAATGGATGTGTGCGTGTGTGTGTGTATGTATGTATGTTCGGATACAAAATTTCGTCGACGATTTCGGGAACACGGATCAACCAATTTGAATAATTCAAAAAACATTCGATTCGTATTGATAAGGAGACATGCTGCTTAGTTTTTAGGAAAGGCAGGTCTAGCCGTTCCGAAGATACGGGGCAAAAAATGCCGAAAACGGTAACTCAGTTTTTAAGAGAACGATGCGTCCGATTTGAATAATTCAAAAAACATTTTATTTGTATCGACTAAATGAAGAATTGGTCAAATTTTTATAAAGGTAGGTCTAGCGGTTTCGGAGATCTAATGAAAAAAGTAAAACAAAAAGCCATTTGGCGGTCAAAAATGAACATTAGACATATGCACATCAAATTATCAGATATTTTATAGAGATTTTAACAATAAGTATAAATTTTGTTTACATTCCTATGGGTTCCGTACTAAAGTTTACGCGTTACACGGCGACGCGGCGCTTAGGCGTTTTGATATTTCGTCTTTATGCGGTTAAAGCAGTACGATTGCCTTGAAAAAAAGTTCAGAATTTCGAAAATATTACAAAATAAATTATTTAAAATAGAATGATTTAATCTGGTTCGAAATTCTATTAAAAGTTTCAAATCATTGATCAACTTTTATTGATTATTATTATTGATTATTTTTAATTACTCGAATTTTGAATTGCGGTACGGCAAGTTCCAGCAATTTGCCTTAAGGCACGATGCCCTAATTGCCTTAAGACAGAATTCCACTTACAGCTAGTTAATTTTTTGCAATTTGCCTTAAGGCACGATGCAATGCACCACTAGTTTTTTAAGTTCATTACAATCGATTTTCAAATAATTAATTAATAAACCCGTTTCGGTATCGATATTTGTCCCTCGTGTCATACACGTCCGACGTAACGACCGTCGACCGCCACGATTCCTCCTAACCGCATTAACCGCGTAACCTTGCGGGGCGCGCGCCTGCGGTGCGTTATTGCAAACCTGGCTGGCGGCTCTCCGACAGGCCGTGAATAATCAATGGAATTCACGTATGACGAACCGGACACAAGCACAAATTGGTGCCTAGGGACTCTGGGGAGTGTAGTTCCAACCCGTGATGTCGTTATTTTTTATTAGAAACATGATAACGATTTATATTATTAATTCATAATGCGATTTATTTTATAATTTATAAGTCGATAATAAACAATATGGGGTAGCAAAATGTTATGTATTAGAATATATGTTGATATTTTTTTTTATTTACTCTGTTTTCGAAAACTTTTATAAATTAAAAAGATAAACTATTAAGTTCACCATATTATTTTAAGTCAAAACCGGAAAAGCAATTTTAGTAATGCTAGTCTAGGTCGAGGGGGCGGGTGGTGATGGTAAATATCTGAAATATGATTATCGAAGTTTTTATATGAAACATTTTTTTAAATTAGAGTTGCGGGATTTTAGTAAAATTTTTGTTATTAACTTCCCGAAGGAGAAGTTTATGTTTTCATCAAAAAATCCGAATCGCTAATTTTATGTTTTCTCGACGTTTCAAGCCATTCTGAATCGAATGAGACCAAATTTGGAAAAAGTATGTGTGTGTGTGTGTGTGTGTGTGTGTGTATGTGTGTGTGTGTGTGTGTGTGTGAACAGATTTTTTGCCGTAAATCGACGTTTTCTCCAAAACGGTTAGACCGATTTCAAAAATTTAAAAGCCATTTGATGTATCTCGATGAGGACTATCGTCTCTGAGTTTTGTGCGGCGATCGGCCGGGCCGTTTCTTTGTAAATTGCAGAAAAGTGAAAAATTTTTCGTCCACGTTTTAGCCCGGAATTCTGAATTGATTTCGAAAATTCAAAAACCGTTCGAAAGATATTGGTTGGGAATCGTGCTGATTAGTTTTTGGTAAAGATCGGCCGGGCCGTTTTCTTGTAATAAAGTTTTTTAAAAAAAAATTTCGACGATTTTTATGATTATTTTTTTGACGGTAGATACCACAGTCTTCTAGGTCATACTAAAATATTACGGCTCTACGACAACTGGTTCAGCTTTAAAAATTCGTCAAAGTTTGCAAAAATCAGTATGGTCTTTTTGGCATTTGTCAAAATTAGAATTTTGATCGACGTTTTCTCAAAAACGCCTGAACCGATTTCAGATATTTAAAAAGCATTTGATGTATTTCGGTGAGGACTATCGTTTCTCAGTTTTGTGCGACGATCGACCAAACCGTTTCTTTGTAATTTGAAAAAAAGTGTTGAACTTTTCGTCCACATTTACGCCCATCCTACCGAACCGATTTTAAAAAATCAAAAACTGTTCGAAAGATATTAGTTGGGAATGATGCTGATTAATTTTAGGTGAAAATCTACCGAGCCGTTTTCTTGTAATTAACTGTTGAAAAAAAGTGTTAAATTTTCGTCCACATTTACGCCCATCTTACCGAACCGATTTTAAAAAATCAAAAACTGTTCGAAAGATATTAGTTGGGAATGATGCTGATTAGTTTTAGGTGAAAATCTACCGAGCCGTTTTCTTGTAATTAACTGTTGAAAAAAAGTGTTAAATTTTCGTCCACATTTACGCCCATCCTACCGAACCGATTTTAAAAAATCAAAAACTGTTCGAAAGATATTAGTTGGGAATGATGCTGATTAATTTTAGGTGAAAATCTACCGAGCCGTTTTCTTGTAATTAACTGTTGAAAAAAAGTGTTAAATTTTCGTCCACATTTACGCCCATCCTACCGAACCGATTTTAAAAAATCAAAAACTGTTCGAAAGATATTAGTTGGGAATGATGCTGATTAATTTTAGGTGAAAATCTACCGAGCCGTTTTCTTGTAATTAACTGTTGAAAAAAAGTGTTAAATTTTCGTCGACATTTAAGCTCATCCTACCGAACCGATTTTAAAATATCAAAAACTGTTCGAAAGATATTAGTTGGGAATGATACTGAATAATTTTAGGTGAAAATCTACCGAGCCGTTTTCTTGTAATTAACTGTTGAAAAAAAGTGTTAAATTTTCGTCGACATTTAAGCTCACCCTACCGAACCGATTTAAAAATATCAAAAACTGTTCGAAAGATATTACTTGGGAATGGTACTGATTAATTTTAGGTGAAAATCTACCGAGCCGTTTTCTTGTAATTAACTGTTGAAAAAAAAAATTTAAGCCGATTTTCATGGAATTTTTTTTGGCGATATACATCATGGTCTTATAGAACTTACTGTAATATTACGGCCTAACGACAAGTAGTTTAATTTTAAAAATTCGTCAAAGTTTGCTAAAATTATTATCGTTTTTTTTAAAGTAGGATTAATGAAGTATATTATTTACACATTTTTTTTGATTAAGTCGATTATTTACACATTTCGGGAAGTTCATGTAACTTGCCTCAAGGCTAAATACCAAACCAACTAGTTTCATTATATAATAAAGATAATTTATTTTCTGTAATTATTAAATTTAATCCTGTATCCGTAATATATTAAATATATTATATAATTTGACTCTTTTTTATCCTCTTTACATATTATGTCATATTAATAACTTCCTGTGGAGTATGTTATTGTAATCGTCCAAAAATCGAAATTGAAAATTTTTGCATATCTTCACGTTTTGAAGGTTTCTGAACATTTTGGCATACCTTAGAAAAAATTGATGTAGGTATGTGTGTGCGTGTGTGAGTGCGCGCGTATGTATGGATACAATTTTCGTCCACGTTTTTGGGAACACGGATCAACTGATTTAAAATATTTAAAAAGCAATCGTTTACCATCGATAAGGAGACGTGCTAAATAGTTTTTGGCAAAAGTCTGTCCAGCCGTTTCGGAGATATGAAGCATAGAGTACAGAAAATGGAAATTAGATTTTTGAGAAATCGGAGCATTCGATTTGAATGATTCAAAAAACATTCAATTTGTAATGATGGGGAGAAGTGGTGATAAGTTTTTGGCGAAGGCAAGTTCAGCCGTTTTGTAGATACAGAGTTAAATATGCAAAAAATGTCAGTTTCTGGGAGAACAAAACATTCGATTTGAATTATTCAAAAATGCTTGTTTTGACAAAAATATTGGTTTTGATTTTTCATTATCGAAAATATTTTGGATTTCATTTCTAATTCTTGCTGTAATAATCTATATATAATATTCAATACTCTTTGAATATTATATTACTGTACAATAAGTTCCAGCTATTTGTCTTAAGGCATGATGCCTTACACCACTAGATCTTATATTTTTTGGTCTATTTGTTTTTATTCGGTTTTGCACATTGTATAGAATCTTGTTCATTTTTTTCTTTACAATCACCTTAAAATTTCAGCAAAATTGTTAGTTTTCATAGTTTTTGTTAATTTTCGTGAAATTAAAAATAAAAGTTTGAATTTTCATGGTAGAAGCTATTATAACATTGGAATTTGGTATACGATAATTTTCTCATTCATAATGTCTTGATTCATAAAAGAATCATGGGAATGATGAACTCTTTGTATTGTAACATAATATAGATCATTGCCAGATATTTGTAATTCTTTGCAAAGATAAGTAAAATAGGGTAAAGTTATGGCAACGCTATGTTGCGCTCCATTTTCATATAAAATTGTACTAAAACTGTCAAATTGAAATTTGAATCTGCTGTCGACCAGCCGTTTTACACATAAAAAACTTCTCGCATATGTTGATGACACATCAGAAAAATGCAGTTTCGATAACAACCTTTTTGCGGTTTCTAGGTTTTATATCTAAAATTCTTGACTGCACAGCAAAAACATAGCATTTTGATAGTTTTTAGTAACATTTTATATGAAAATGACAGCATAACATTCGTCTATTTTACGTCGGAATTGGTCCATAAGTTTTTTTGATACAATTTTAAGTAAATGATCTAATAAAAGTACCATATTATTATCGAGAATAACGTGCTCGATACAAACAACTTGAAAGAAAACGAATTATTGCAATTGCTAAGCATGAACGATGCGCTATATTTTTAATTTGTTTTACAAACTACGTATTCCAAATTGCCAAATTTTCGGCTACACTCCCCGATAATAACGTTCCCGGATCACAATTGCGATTTTGCATGCATCTGTAGTAACTATTCGCAGTGGACATATCCATATCACGTTTGTACATAAACGCTGACATTAACATCTGCCTCTGTAGTTAATATCTTTTACGGCAAAATTTACGATCGAATTTCTAACTCTCATCCTATATACGTATTAATTTGAGAACGATGCGTATTATAAATTTCAAGCTGGCCACAGGAATTTGGCTAAAATGGCTAAATGAGCAAAAGGATCGAAGCCACATAAAAAATTAAAATAATAAAATAAATTGCCACTTTCTGTAAAATATATAATAGTGATGGTGTAACTATTGGATGAGAAACAATATACTTGGAATCTACTTTTTTATTAATAATAGCAATCAAGAAATCTTAAAAGGGGCGATCTATCAATCTCAATAGGATTTTAAGGGAAAGGGGGGGTTGATAAAAAATGACGAAATATCACGTAGAAGAGAAGGTCGTATAGTACGATATCACGTGAATTTATTTTGCACAGGAATTTTTTTTTTAAATCCAAATAGTTACAATTTTTTTTAAAAAAATACATGTGGTGTTTGGTGGGGGAAGGGGGGTAATTTTGAATATTACACGTATCGCCAAGGGGGTAGAGGGGGTCCAAAAGTCCTTAAAAAATTGATCACGTGATTAATAGACGCCCTAAGACATTGTTACATGAAAGAGAGAAAAAAATAGAATAGAAGATACAATAATAATTTAGAGTACAATTCATGAAGAGAAGTTCAGATAACTATCATATATATAATATTCTTTACATTATTAAATTATTTATTTTTTAATACATAAATATTTTTTTTAGTTTGTTGAATACTTTTTATTGCTCTTATATATTTTTTAAAATAAGCGTAAATTTTTTAGTTTGTTGAATTCTTTTTATTGCTCTTATATATATTTATTTTTCAGTTATTTTTTTCGTCTTATATCAGTTTTGTTCTACTTTTATTATTATTATTATTATTATTATTATATTTTTATATATTTTTTATAACAAGATTATATTTCGTAATACACAATTTTTTTCAGATTTCAAATTTATGTTTTAAATTTTTCATTATTATCCATATTAACCGAAAGAATAGCACTTCTAAATAAAAAACAAAATTTGAGAAAAATATTCAGTAGTATTTTTATATAGCATTTTAAAAAAAAGTTATTTATCATAATTTATGTTAAAATGAATGAAATCTATATAAAAAAATATGAAGAACGTTTTTTTTAAGTTTGAGCTTTTTTAAGATGATGCTATGAACTTATTTTTCAGATACTTCAATATACTTAATTACTTATTATTTTATTATTGTATTTTTTAATATGAACTTATAAATTTTTATTTATTTTTCATATTTCTGGTCATTATTGTGGTTAATACAAACTAAATTGCTTATTTTGTATTTTTTATTGAAAGTTTTTCATAATCGTAAAATAAATTTTTATTCTAATTTAAATTTACACTATTTATTTATGAGTAATGTTAATTCTTACCTTATTTATCATTATTTTAAATAATTATCCAAATTTAAAATATATATTAATTACATAGTTATATTTAATTTTATTTTAGCTATTACATCATAATATCAGATGTCACTTGTTTTATTCCTAAACCTAAATTTCATACTACATCATAAAACTTTATATTAAAGCAATTGAAAAATTATTGATTTATTTGCACTTTCTCGCCAAATTTTGTTTCACAAAAATTAGATCTTGTATCTTTTTGCACAATAAAATATTGTTTCACATACAAGTATCAAAATATTTTCAATTAAAAAAGCAACTTTCCTACCTCAAATATCTCATAAACCAATCGCATACAATAACACTTGTTCCTTGTCCAATTCACAGAAAAAAACTGTACAAAACGTTTTCATTTATTTAGTTATAACCATGCTTTATGGTGTATTAATAATTCGCATCTGCCTTATAAATTCAAAGATTTCTTCTTAAATACTATTGCCGATTGGAGACTAAGATAACCGAGCAAATATAAAATACCCATACACATGTTTACATTAAAAGCTATCTGTTTGTAAGCTACACCGTTCATTGAATTCCCGATAATCTGCTATTTTTTAGTAAAAGAAGTTTAAAATTTGATTAAAATTTTCAAGTGGGGGTTTTGAAGTTCCAAGAAACAAAGAAATTTGAAGGACCATTTCTTACATGTGACGTCTATGTCTATTATAACGTGACATTGATTCTTTACTACGTCACATGTGATGTCACCGTGATGTCGATTAGTTCATTCATCAGTCTATCTTCTAAGAACGCATCATTATGCGTTTATTTATAACTATCAGTTCATTCATACTGGTGACATTTATTTAATTCACTTTTTTTATAAACACGTGGTTTGAGGTTGATGAATAAATTCATTGAGTCAGGAATTTCCTGTGCAGAATCATTAGAACGATTTATGTATTCGATGCAAGTGGCGAAATTTGATAAACTTGGAATTTGAAAATGTGTTTTGAGATAGGTACATAAGAAATTATTTTTAATTGGATCTGATTTTATGTATATTCAAATATGAATTTATAAATTTATGTATATTAACATTGCATATAAAAGTGCTATATAAATATTTAAATTAACTGTAAAATGTGAAATTAAGGTCCCATTAAGGAATTTTCAAAAATATCAAATAAAAAGTGTATAATATTGAATTAATTTTTTTCCAACGTCAGTTTTGACCACGATTTAGTTACAGATTAATTATCACAATAATTCTAATAAATCAATTTTTGTTTAAAGAAATGCATTTGTAAAAGCTCAGCAAAAGCTTCAATTTATTTGATTCAATTTAAACGAATATGTTTAAAAAAAAATGAAACATCATGGAAGTTTTGCATTCTATTGAAGCAATTGTATTTTGGTTTACTTTTAGATCAAACTCTATAAACGTAATTAGGTCTGGTAGACAATCTAATAGAATTGAAGTAATTATTATCAAAGATCACATTTTTTTAATTTTATTTTTGAAATTTTGCCCATTAATTTTCATATGTGGTTAGTATCAAGAAGTATGGACTATTGTTTCCATTGTCTGCAATATTACAATTATTGTTACTGACAAAATTTGTGTTGTTAATTTGCAAAAGCTCACGAAAAGCTTCAATATGATCACTTTTATAGAAATTGAAATGTATAAACAAAAAGACGATACATCATTGAATCGTTTAAAAAATGAGTTTGATATGACATTATTTATTCTGATTAAAAACGCCAAGCTTGATAACCATAATTAGGGTTAGGATACTATTTTGGAATTCAGAAATTGTATTTTAAAAATTTGAAAATTTTACAATTAATAATTATATTATATTTTTGAAAAATTGTCTTCACAGAAATTATTCTACAAAAAAATAAAGCTTAACTATTTTTTTAGGATCAAGAACATCAAGCATCAAGAAATACAGATTATTACAGTAATAGTTTCAGAAAGAAAATATTTGGCATTTAAATAAATGTAATTTAGATTAATAAATTGAAAAATTATAATAATTTAATTATAATATGAAAAATATTGCATTTTTCTGCAAATTTATATTGATTGTTAATGATTTAGAAATATATTTTTGTTTGTATAAAAGCTTGGCTGAAGTTTCGAATCGTTTTAAAAAAAAAATGGCATTTAAATAACTAGAAAGATAAATAAATTAAAAAATTAAAGAATAAATACTTCAAATTAATTAATTGAAAAATTATATAAAATATTGCATTTTTTTGCAATTTAATACTAATTGTTGATAATTTAAAGATACATTTTTGTTTGTGTAAAAGCTCGGCTAAAGCTCCATATATATTTATTATTATTTAGTATGTAATATATAGACATGGTATCGTTTAAATCAATATTTTTTTAACATAATTGAATTCGATTTTGATGACCTTAACTGAAGTTTTTTCATTAATTTTATACATTTGATATCCAAATTAGGTCTAGGAGACGTTCAATGGAATTCAAGGAATTGATTACCAATTATCAAAATTTCTAATTATATTTTTGGAATTTTGCTTTGATAAAACGTGCGTATGTATAGCAAAACGTGTATAAATAATAATTAAATTCATTTATATATTTGAGATATTTATACATAATCATAATTACCCAAGTTCGAGGAATAAGGTCATCTTGTATGAATGATAACACAGCTATATACAAACTTGACCTCGTTTGATTGTGTAAACTCAATAAGCAAATTTTGAACTTCTACGAATTTCCAAGGAAACATGAAAAGTTCAAGAACCATTAATTATTAGTGTTATCAATTCGAATACGGAAACTGGATTTTTGGCAATTTAAAACAGTCTAAAAATTATATAATCAAGTATTTGATTTGTGAATTCTCTATTTAAAGCATACAGGCTTCTTTCACATTTTAGGCTTCTTAAGGCTGCAATATTAATTTTTTTTATATATATTTTATATTCTATATATATATATATATATATATATATATATATATATTGTTATATAAAATATCACTATTGAATTTCTGAATATTTTTGCACTTTTTCGCCTTTTCCATTCGCACATTTCAAATACGAGTGCTATCTCAAAGTTACACCTTTAATTTCCTGATGCTTTTGGTTGAAATTGTATAAATTCCCTATAACATTCCTAATATATATATATATATATATATATATATATATATATATATTAGGGTGGTCCTTAATATGGACATTTTCGTATTTCCTTGCTCCCAAGGGCACAAATGGTTCCAAATTGATAAAAAACTATTCTCTGAAAGTTTTAGCTCTTAATATTGTCTTTAAGGTAGTGCGCAATTTAATAAAAGTTTTGTATGAAAATATCATGAAATTTTTTTCTAAAATTTAAAAATTGCTTTTCAGCCAAAAAGTTCCAGCAATTTGCCTTAAGGCATGATGCCATATACAACTAGTTAATTTTATTTTTTCTGAATGAATTTACATATAACATTCAAACATATAAGATGAACAATTCAAGTATTTATCAATTCACAATTTTGTAAAATAATCCAAGAATTTCAGCGACACATAATTACTCTAAATACATTATTAAATTTATTAGTCTATTATTAACTTCACAAAGTATAAGTTATAGTAATCGTAAAAAATTAGAAAATAGAAATTTTTGCTTATCTTTCCTTTTTAACTTCCCGTAGGGCAAGTTATAGTAATCGCAAAAAAATCGAAAATGAAAATTTTTATATATCTTTACGTTTCAGAGGTTTCTGAACATTTTGGCATACCTTAGAAAAAATGGATGTATGTGTGTGTGTGTGTGTGTGTGTGTGTATGTGTGTGTGTATGTGTGTGTGTATGTATGTATGTGTGTGTATGTATGTGCGGATACAAATTTTCGTCGACGATTTCGGGAACACGGAACAACCGATTTGAATAATTCAAAAAACATTCGATCCGTATTGATAAGGAGACGTGCTGATTAGTTTTTGGCAAAGGCAGGTCAAGCCGTTCCGAAGATACGGGGCAAAAAGTTCCGAAAACGGTAACTCAGTTTTTAAGAGAACGGAGCGTCCGATTTTAATAATTCAAAAAACATTTCACTTGTATTGACAAGATGAAGAATCTATAAAATTTTCATAACGGTAGGTCTAGCGGTTTCGGAGATATAGAGGAAAAAGTAAAAAAATGAGCCATTTGGCGGTCAAAAATGATCATTAGACATATGCACATCAAATTATCAGACATTTTATAGAGATTTTAACAATAAGTATACATTTTGTTAACATTCCTATCGGTTCCGTACCAATGCTTATGCGTTAGACAGCGACGCGGCGCTTACGCGCTTTATATTTTGTCCCTATGTAGTTAAAGCAGTACGATTGCTTTGAAAAAAAAGTTCAGATCTTCCACAATATGTCAAAATAAAGAAAAAAAAAATTTTTTTCAAAAAAAAAAAAAAATTAAAAAAAAAAAATTTTTTTAAAAAATTTTTTTTTTTCAAAAAAAAAAACTAATTTTTTGTCCAATTTATAGTTTCTCAAAAATCTTATTTTTTCAAAGTAATTTTTTTTCAAAAATGTTGATCGTTTTAAAAAAAAATAATAATTATTGGTACGGGAAGTTCCAGCAATTTGCCTTAAGGCACGATGCCCTAATTGCCTTAAGACAGAATTCCACTTACAGCTAGTTTTCTGAACATTTTGTCATGCCTTAGAAAAAATGGTTATGTGTGTGTGGGTGTGTGTATATGTAGTATGTTCGTGTGTATGTTTGGATACAATTTTATGTCCATTATTTTGAGAGCACGATTTGATGAATTCAAGAAATCATTTAATATTTAGTAAAATGTGCAGGAAAATGCAATTGATTTTTGGAGAAAACGGAGCGTCTGATTTGAATTTTTCGAAAAAAATTTGTTTTGACGAAATGAACAAATTATAAATTTAGGGATCCAACAAAAAAATGTCATTTGTCTGCCAAATATGATCATTAAAAATATTTACATTTAATTATCAGATACTTTATAGAGCTTTCTAATTTTTTTTTTTTGAGCTCTAAAACAACTATACTGATTAGATTCCTAATTTTAGTTCCTTTTTGGACAACTTGTATCAAACAGTAGTGAAATCAACTTATACTTTATATAAATATAAAAAATGATATGATTTGAAGTAAAAATAGCCTTATGGAGCATTGCAGCAAAAATGTTTGAAAAATTACATAATTTTCAAAAAAAAAAATAATAAGTTTCAGAAATTTGCTCTAAGGTACAATGCCATGCATCACTCGTTAAGTTATTATTAATTATTTTACAAAATAAACGAGTCTTTTTGTATATATAAAAAATAGTTTTCCCATGTAATCAAACTACCATTTTTTTAA